ACCCACCACCGGGTTTTGCACGGTGAAGGGATTCTGTTTGGTGTTTCATTATACGTCTCCTTCACATACTCCACGTAGTGCCGCCACACTTTGTCCGATGCAAACCAGTTGCGCACCTCATGTGTCTTACGAATGGCTTGCCTCAAAACTTTGCAGTTAGCAACAAACGTTGTGATACCGTTGTTCACGGTATGTGCGAAACATCGCACATGTCGTGTAACTCCGGCCCGCTCGACGCCGACTCGCATATCTTCACCATTGTCAGTTGTGAATGCTGACACCGTGCTCAGTTCAATGTTCCATTCCTCTAGCATGCCTTTGAGGAGCCTACCAATATAATCACCCGTGTGGTCCTCTGTCATCAGCCGGCAGTTCAAGGTCACGTCGATCAGGGCCCACTCGGCGTCGAGGAAATGCGCCGTGAGGGACAAGTACCCGTCATGGGCCTCCGACGTCCAGGCGTCCGTGGTGAAGGCGCGGTAGTCCGATGCATCCAGCAACGCCTTGACGGTCTTCTTTGTCTCCTCGTACATTTTGGGCAGATGCTGGGCAGTGAGAGTGCGGCGGGAGGGTGGCTCGTAGCGTGGGTTGAGTGAACGGACGAGCAGTCGAAAGCCAGGCTTGTCCACCGTGCTGAGCGGTCGCATGCAAGAAACAATGTAATGTGTGACTGCCATGTCACACTTTTCCTTCTGTTTCTTTGAAAGTGGTGTGAAAGAGTCAAGCTTAGGCTGAACCAAAGTTCTGAAACAAAAAAAAAAATAGTTAACCTCTCATTCCTCACGCGCTCCGCCCCGCCCCCCCCCCCTTTCCTATTTGTACATATACGTACTTTTGTGCTGATTTTGATGGTGTTTGCTCCGGTGTTGGACTTCTGAGACTAAGAGTGGAACTGGACCGGTCGGAGGCGGCCGACTCTGGCCTCTCGGTAGTGTTGCTAGAACCGGGCGACGTAACACTAAAATCGGCATCAGGATCAGAGTCGTCTTGATCTTGATTACTCGCGGGTAAGCCTAAGCTATCCAGTTTCTTCTGCCGGTCATTCTTCTGAACTTCTGCATACTCAACAGCGTGCCACACTCGCAGGTGATCTTTGGGGTTAGTTGTCCCACCATTCTTGCACGTCACTTCTTTGCGGCACAGCTTGCACTTGCAACGGTCTCGCGACGGAGTTTCAAGGTCTTCGAAATACCTCCATACGAAGGCTCTCCGGTTTGGTATAAAGCCGGGCCCCGGCATAGCGGGAGCTGAGCGCTGCGATACCTAACCTCACTTTTCCTCACTAGGCAGGGAGGCGCTTGCAGTGCAGTCGTAGACGGTAAACAAACTGAGCCAGGAGGGCGGGCGGCGGCGCGGCAGGGCACGGCCACGACACGCACGGCGCACGGCGTGGCAGTAGGCAGTAGGCAAGCGGGGGAGAGGAGGGGTGGGCGGGGGAGTAGAGGCGAGCGAGTTGCAGCCTGTCTGTCGCCGTGCGGCCAGCGGCGACGGCGACAGGGAGTGCAGGGCAGAGGACAGGGACGGGACAGGCCTGCCGCCGCCGCCTGCCCATTGCGTTTTCTTTCTACCGCATTACGCATTCATACAAAATATTGGTCTGATTTTATAAACATTTCAATATTTCAATATTTCAATATTTCAATACTGGCCAATATTTCAATATTGACCAATATTGAATATTGGCCAATATTGAATATTGCCTTTCAAAAAATTGAGACGTTCAATATTTCC